AGAAACATAACAAATAGCAATCCCCTCGATCATCTTGAATAATATCTTTTATTACATCATTAAATTTAATCAAACCAGGTTACAAAAATTGAATCAGTTTTTACAAAACAATTTCTTTTCATTTTTTAATATGAATTAACAATCGTCCTCCAATAAAGCAGTGTTATTCTATAATGAACAATATGTTAAAATGAACAAAAATTATAATCATAGATCATTTACTATATTATTTAGAAAAAATGGAAGAAAATATCAAAGTATTTATATTTAAATAAAAGGACAACCCTCATAATAGACAATTAAATAGTTATATATTATCTTTATTCTATGAATATTTAGAAGTCATATATTATTTCTTATTTATTTATTGATTCATTTTCTAGAATATAAGAAGAGTAATTCGATACTAAAAGTTAATAATAAATAACCAATTTGAGCAATTAAGATAAAATTTAAGTCAATATTAATTAAACTAGAATTAGATTGTCTATCTAGTTATTTTAACTATTAAATTATACATCAAGATACAATATCCAAATATTGAATTTTGAAGTAACATTGATTTTTGAATTTATATGGATTTAGCTTTAATTTACATAATATTATCAGTAGTATTTTATTATTAATTAGTTGATAATCATCATACAGATTGATTGTTACAATAACTATTATCTTAAATTAAGAGATTCTTTTAATTGAATTGAATAGTAAATAAATAGTTTATTTAGAATTCAATAAGAGCAATCAAAATTGAATATTAATCATCAAAATATACTATCGTTTTATTCATACGATATTTACAGTTCAATTTATATATTCAAACTGATTGATATTTTAAATTATATATTTATTATTCATGAATATCTAAATTAAAAAGACTGCTATAATATTGATTTGGATTGGTTTCACTACAATTTATCATGTTAGATTTAGATATTATTCATAATCAAATTACCATATACCTAATTTATACTTCACAATAAAAGTAGATGTGATTAGAATGAAACTAAATATAAAATGATACTTATTAAAATTTTGAAACAATTTTTATATACTATAATTCTTTACATTTTGCACATTTAGTAATTATAATCCTGTGTAAGGTTTAGTTGAATCATCTAAAGTAGTCAATTTACTATTTCAAAATACCATTTAAAATGCAGATATAAAATTAATTTTGTATTGTATTTAATATACAATCCACTCCATTCAAAAAATAGAATATATTTCAAATCATCTAGCTTTGAATATGAATTATGCCATAATTATTCATTATTAGTACATAATTTATAACATGTACTTAACAAAATATCTTCTGTAACAGAATAATAATTTAAATACTTATACTTATACTATTTATATTCATAATAACCAACTGCACATACACATTATAATCCTTTTAATATTCTATTTAAAGATGTTTCACAACTTACAAAGCTATCAACAGTTACTTGAAAAAAGTTTTACCATGATGAATAACATAAGAAGCATGAATTTGTTGCTGCCTTAAAAAATAATCCTAATGGACATTTACATGTTGATCCCATATATTCAATTTTAACAATATTTTTGCAACTTAAATAATCATCATAAATAGGTCCAGAGTAAGTGTTACAAAATTAATGACATCTTTAAAATTAAGGATTCTATAAAATTAGATAGTATTGATTTTTCAATTATCTATTATTTGTAACTAAAAATTCTATACAGTTGTTTGTACTTAAACACTAGTTACATTCAATTGGGCAATCAAATCATAGATTCAAATCTTCATATTGATTCATTTTAGATTATATATTAGTAGATTATCATGTTGAACAATCCATTTTAGATGTACATGTTAAACAAGATATTGGGCAATCCAAATACCTTAAATTATCTTTATCAAAATATTATATAATTTAGTTCACTTCTTATGAGAATTTTCCAACATTTGTATCATAGTTGCTACTCCATTATGTGCATGTATTTAAGCATTATAAACAATAAGATTAGCATTTATGAACAGTTATATAATAATTATAAAATCCAAAATAAGCATTAACTGGTTCATTATTTGGTTCATAGCATTTCCAACTTATTTTTATAGTTGAAAACAATTCCAGCCATCATTCCTCTGAGTTGCAAAATTCAATTTTATTTTGATTTCATAAAAGCCAAGTAAAAATTTAACTATTTTTATTTAAAAGCACGTTTTAGTTAATTTTTTTAATAGTAATTCCTATTTTAAATAATTTAACTTCAGGTATTTTTGTGCACATTTTTATTTTGAAATTTTTTT